AGGCTAGACCCATTTGGAATGTCTTAGGCCAACAGATTAAAAGAATGCTGCTTTCCATTGGGTATTAGCTTAAAGTAAGGCTGCCCTTCTCTGAACACAGATGCTAAGCACATTTGATCCCAGGTGTCTTTAGCAGCTAGTTCAGCTCTTCATCTGGAGCTAATTAGTCAGTGGACTTGAGTCATGGTCCTCTTTAATATGTAAGTGACAGCTCACAAGTAAAGTGCCTCTCTTAGAAGGCTTCCTACACATACCACATACACACAGTATTTTTTTTAAAGATTTATTTATTTATGCATACAGAACTGGGGTACAGGCCAGAGGTGCAGAGGTGGTGAGAGGATTCACCAGCGACAGAGTGGGGAGCAGAAGAGGCCGACTGACGAAGTACACTGCTGAGGGGAGCAATGGGCGGGTCAGGAAAGCTCCGTGGTGGGGATTGTACTTATGTTGAAGTGGCTCTAGCTTCTTAGTGCTGTGCTTTAACCCTCTGAGCCAGCAGGGAGGACCACACACAGTATTTTTTCAGCAAAGATCACCTGTGTACATTTTTATTTTTATTTTATTTTTTTTAATAAACACAAACTATGCCCATTTTCAAAGATTCTGAATTAACAGGTATTAGGAGAGTCATTTATTAAAGAATGCATGTTACTATAACAAGAATCTAATATGAATTGAATCACAGAGGCTTATTATCCATATAGAATTGGGATGAAATATGCAGAAAGATTTTATATCTGTTACTTCTATCTTCATATTAAATTTCAACCAGAAGTTTATAAGTTTCACATTTCTCAAGGCTGAGTTGACTCATTGATGTAAGTGCCAATTTTCTTTACCACTTTAAAATGTTTATAATAGAAAATACTTTTACCCTTATTATATATTTTTCCTTCTGTCAAGGCATATTTCTGCATTATGTTAAAATGGTTATGCAACAGGAAAAGAATGTTTTTCATTTTTGTTATAAAAAACTATACAAAAATCTATTTTTTGATATACAGGTATTGGGCCTTATAAAATATACATAGAAATTAAAATATTCTAATGTAACAAGCATTTGGCATAGGTGTAAATGTGAGGTATATGTCTCTCCTTGGAATCATTTTGTGGTTAAAGAAGGTCAAAAAGATGATAAAACTCCTGACAGTGCAAACTTCACAACTTCTTCCTCCTGGTTCTAGCATTAGTAAGTCTAGCTGTTTTTTGTTTGTTTGTTTGTTTGTTTTGTTTTGTTTTGTTTTAATGGAATTCAGTTTATTTTAGTGATGCAGTCAAGGAGAAACTGGAGGTGACAGTCAAAAATACTGTAATATTGGGCAGTCCCTTTTCACAAAATCTTAAGTTTTTTTCCAGTCCTTGTTACTCTTGAGATGGGACTTAGTGGCTTTGGTTTTTAAACATCTAACATTTAGTTTCAGGCTAGACAACATGATTCTATATCTGTATGTAATGAGAAATGATCACCACAATAAGTCTAGTTATCATCCTCAAATCATGACAATGTTTTCCTGTGAGAACTTTAAAGATCTCTGGAAGGTCAGGGTTCCGGCAGAGCACTTTCCTCAGAGAAGCCTTTCTTTTGACAGAAGGAACGAGTGAGGCAATGGGAAATACGCCTGCTCAGGGACATCGAGGAAGCCACCCAGCATGAACTTACCATCCAAGCAGAGTGAGCACCGAGCACCAGGACCAGAAGATCAGGAGCTCCACCCTTGAACCAACTACTTGTCTGCCCTGTCTGTCCAGCTCTGAACACCAACCACATCCTCCTCAGATTTTGCCCCAGGTCTGGCCTAGACCAGTGTTCTTCCCTTTTGTGTCCCTTGGGTGAAATGGGATCAGATCTTGTTATGCAGACCCCAGTGTGATTTTCTGGTACTTACGGAGACGAGGGGTAGAGGGAGCAGGTGTGTTTCCTCTGAGGCTCTTATTTTTGTGGGTTTTTTTTGGATGCACTTGCTATTAGAATGTGATCCTGTGCCTATCAATGAGGACAGATTCTTTGATTTCATCAAGGGCATCTTCTCATCTCCTGGGTCCTCTGCTCCAACCAACAGATCCAAGTCCATGCGCTTCCCATCCAACAGAGGCCTCCTCTCTTCCTCTCCACTTGATTCTGAATTACTTCCCGTTTCTACCACTGCAGTTCTGCTGACAGTCACCCGCAAGGTAGACTTGTCATTTCCTGCCAGAATCTGTGCCTCCTGGGTGCCAGGGCTGTGGGTTCAGGGACATGTCCCAGGCCCACAGTAAACAGCAGGTGCTTAGGAAATGACTCACCTACAGAAAGAAGGGCTCACAGGTAAATGAAGGTGTCGCTGGTGCTGCCCGAGTATGGCATGCATGCGGGATACGTGGGCTGGTGTTTGCAGGTCATCAGAGCTCATTATGCACCAGCGCCACGACTTCTACAAGATGCTCAAGTTTCTTTGCTCCACCAAGCCTGACATGGTCTCTATTATTTACAGCACCAGACGCCCATTATTTACAGATGGCCTGTGTGCTGCAGGTATGTCCACTCATGGCTCGTGTAGACAGTGCTTGAACTGTTTATGATGTTTTTGACAAACAAATGGTTTTTATTTTAATGTTATGATTACATGATTTCTGCTTTACAAAATGTATACATGATGCATCCCTAGGTGATAAAATTTGTATTTGGTTACAATAAAGTTAAATTTGAGTCCATGTTTAACTTATTTTGTATATGCTGGGAACTACCTTCTCCATGTGGAAGGAAATTTTCTCAACCCTCTTTGATGTGTCATGCCTTCCCATGGATACCAAGGTCCCACAAAGTAATGTTTGGCTCTGTGTCTGGGCTCCCTGTTACACCACATCAGATGAACATCCATAGCTTTAGAAGAAGTCTTAGTACCTACAAGGACAAAGAAAGTCCATTTGTCCTTTTTGAAATCTTCACTTTCATACTTAGAATTTTAGAATCAGTCTCTGAGGGACAAAGGCAATTCATAGTTCTATTGTGTGTGCACAAGGGATTTCTGTATTTCGGTTACTGTTAGATACTGAAGATGATACAGCTAACCCTCTGTGCTAAGCCTGCTCCCTAAGTTTGAGGGGGAAGGAATCAAGGTGAGACAGCAAGGCAGTGGGCAAGACTGAGATCTTGTTCACAGAAAGATTTACCTTCCTGACGGGAGCAGATAGCATGCAGGTCACATGACATCATAGAAGGGGAGCCTGGTACCTGGGTCATTTAGGCAGGCCCTCAATGGACATCACTGAAGGAAATATGGAAGCTGAGTGGTCAAGGGGGAATAAATTCAGGCAGGCAGGCAGGTAGTGTCATGATCACTGAAGAGTTTATTTGGTTTTGCAAAGGCTGTTCAGCTGCCCCAGGCCCTTGCTGCTGCTGCTCAGGCCCAAAAAAGTGTCCCAGCTGCACAGTCTGAGAGAATAAATAAATGGATAGAGGTCACAAGGTCATGCGCGGTGGTGGCCAGGCTACCAGTGCTTGCTTCTCTGACAGAGGAGCACATTGGAGAGTGATGAGGTTTGTTGGTGACTGGAGTGTGTATGAGGACTATAAACGGGAACTCAAGGGTCCTCTCAAGTCACTGGCCTGAAGTCACATGTCCACCGCACAGGCTTCACTGCAAACCTGCCCTGGGGGACACACCTTACAGAGGCGTGAGGACTGTTAGGGCAGGAGGCGGGAGAGTGCTGTGAACGAGGGAGGGCCCAGGCACTGAGGGAGGGCCCAGGCACTGGGGCGGTGTGCCAGGGACAAGCTGAGTGCCCCTGTCAGACTGGGTAAGAAGGCACAGGACAAGGCCCTCCCTGGTGGCGCAGCGGGTTAAAGCACAGCACTGAGAAGCTAAAGCCACTTCCATATGAGTTCGATTCCCGCCTGCCCCGGAGGTGACCACATGGAGTGGCAGACCTCTCCTGACCCGCCCACTGCTCCCCTCAGCAGTGTACTTCGTAGATCTGCCTGTTCTGCTCCCAGCTCTGTCTCTGGTGAAGCTTCTCGCCGCCCTTGAGCCTCTGGCCTGTACCCCAGCTCTGTATGCACAAATAAATAAATCTTTAAAAAAAAAATGGCACAGGACAAGGTCACCGGTACTAGATGCTTCACAGGTCGAAGAGATGAGATATGGGGTCTTTTGAGAATTTTTAGTGGATAGAGAGCAAGGGGACAGTAGCTTGGGAGGTATCAAGGTTAGGAAAACCCATTTTTTAAGCGTGGGGAAAGAAACAAATGAAAGAGGAAAAACTGAAGAAGTCAAGTTATACAAAAGCCAAGGACCCCCGGGCACCTCTGCAGACCCCTTCTGCAGTCTCCACTGTCACCCTTGAATAAAGCTAATCCATAGGACCCAGTCTTCCCAACAAGAAGGAAATACAGGCTTGTCATCTACTCTTCTCCCTCTTCTCACCCTCACACCGAAACCACTGAGCTGCTCCCGACATTGTCCCCTCCTCCAGCTGATCTTTACACCACCCCAAGGACTTCTAGGGCCCTGGCTCTACTCTGGGCAGGGGTGGACTTTTTTACTAAGCCATGACAACAGGCCTCACTGGTTCTGCTAAACGCTGGCCCTGGGATGTGTGACCTCTGCCTGAAGGTGGTTATCTCCACTTGTATAAGTGGCCAGGGACCTAAAGACCCCTAGATCTATGGGAGGTACAAGGCAAATAGGGTGAACCCCAACTTTCATATTTGGAGCAGAAAAAGATTTATTTCCTATTTATGAAAGATGAAAATAGCAGAATGCCAGTCTCATGAATCAGAGACTTGGCATGGAGAGTTACAAATAACAAATTATTTCCCTGGAATATCTTGTTTAGAAGGAAATATAAAGAGCTGTCATGTGTCCATCCATGGCCACTACCTGTCACGTGATGGGCAGAACTGTGCCAGGAGAGGACATGAAAGAGTGTCCCATGCAGGGTAAGTAAAACAGGCAGAAAACCACATGCTATACGACAGGTTGTTTTTTCAATTAAACTGGCTACAAAGCTTAGCCAAGCAATTTTTTCCTTTATTTTGTTAAATAAGATTCCAGAAAGTATAGTGCAAACACTCAGTAGAAAAGTTGTAATTAAGAAATGTACATTCACACTTAACATCAGTCCATTCACTTAAAAAAAAATAGGACAAATTATGTAATTACGTGTCTCAATTTTTTAACAATCTTGGAAGACTGGAAGGTACGCCACAGTGCTCAGTTGACGTAAAAATAGACCCGTATGGAGTGTATACAAATCTATAATGAGAAGTTACATCAAAGTGACTCGAAGCTGCTGTCCTGATATGCCTTGTTTTCATCTCTCGAGAAGCATCCTCAAGAGCTCCACCAGTGGGCGGTCACACTTGCTCCCTCATTCTGGATTCCAAGTGGGGGTGCGGCCAGTGCTAGCTGGACATGGAAAGGCTTGGTTTACACCAGGGAGTCAATTCAGGAGTGGGCCCTGGGGTCGCCTTAACTGAGAACCGCGGGGATGTCATAGCGATGCCTCCTCCTCACTGGGGCAAGCTGCTGTGCAATCAGTGTGAATGAGAAGCAGGGAGGAAGGAAGGGGCATGGGCTGGAGGGCTCTGTGTCATTGGTGTAGGAGCTATGCAGGCTGGGCCTCAGATGCCCCTGCAGGGATGTTCTGTGCCGGTTGGCAGATACCCAAGGTGGACATGGTTGTGTTTCCAAACTGAGTTTCATACAATTCGAATTTCATGACATGAGATTCCAGGTACAAATAAATGACTTGGATGTCCCCAGTTTCAAGAGGAACAAAGGTAAACCTCACACCTCTCCAGGACCGACACTTGGAGTAGGGGTGGTCAGTGTGTGCATGAGGCAGCCACAGGCTGCCTCAGGATTCCCAGAATGTGGGGATGGTCCCGAGACTTGTGCTTCCTGCCCAGGGCCTGGGATGGCAAGGACGTTGCTGGTAGGAGGCAAGAAGCAAGTTCTGACGGCCACTGGGCCCCTGGCCCGTTGGCCTGCCATGGAGGGAGAGCCCCTGAACACAGCTCCCTGAACTACCAGTCTCAGACCATCCACTCACGTCTGTTAGGCCCTGGGGTATGAGTCTAGGATACCCTCTCTGTGCAAAGCCCTCAAGTAGTGACGGCAGGCCATTTTAGAGCCCGACCCATCTGAAAGTCAGCTGTCCGGTCCAGCAGGAAAGCTATGCCGGGAGGCTGGACTCCACTCAGGAGCGTGCCAACTTCCAGCCACCTGTCTTGCCTTCTGAACACTCCCAGTGAAATCTCCTTGGTGTCCGCTCATTCCCCAGCAGGGTACACTGACCTGCTGAAACTGTGCTGGGAACGTGACGACGCCACTGAGTGGCTAACAACAAAGTGAGAGGAGAAACAGCAAACCCCACCTTCCTAAAGCTCACCCCACTCCTCAGCAGGAACTGGGGGGCTGGGCTGGCTCTATGGAAGTGCAGAAGTATGTGTGCCTTGGGCATCTTAGGCTCCCTATTTGACAACAGAGGGATCTTGCAGAAAGCAGGGCATGAATGCCCTCCTCATTTTGGGGTGCTCTCTTAGGAAGAGTCTAGCTTGTGCAGCTGTACAGTTTGAGGACAGAAAGTGTGGCAATACAAGGTAGGGATGTTTCAAGCCTAATATTCTCTGTCCTTACAGGGTCAGTCATTAAAGGAGAGATAGGGTTTAGCCAAGAGGCTCTGTCTTCTAATGTAGCAATGTGAGATCTCATGAGGACAAAGCCCAGGGCTCCTCCAGGGATAGGCTGTGGGTTTGTACCCATTCACCCGGGGACAAGAACCAGCCTGCCCAAGATGTCCTGACAGTAGGGGGCATTTGCAAGCTAAGCAGCTAGAGGGCCCCATCAAAACCGGCACAATTTTTGCTATCTCACTGTTAACCATGAGACATTGAGTACAATGGAAAATGAAGAGGACCAGGAAGGGAGAGGAGTGGCCCTCGTCCGGCACTAGGTACCATGTGACCTTGCCTGAGACTTAGTGTCTCTGAGCCCCAGAATGCTCACTGGCAATGTGGGGGTTGTAACCACACCTCCCTCAACAGGTTGCTTTGAGGGAGAACTCTGTAAGCTATTGACATAGATTTCAGTCAGAGTCATAAATGTATCCTTGGTTTGTGGTCACATAAAAAAGCCCAGTGGAAATATGACGAGAGCAAATAGGGCCTTTCCCTGGGTGAGCAGGGCAGAACATACAGTGAGGCATAGGAAGAACTCCTGACCCCACACAAGAATGAAGGGTGGCAACGGAGGGACTTTCGTCCCTCGGAAGGGCAAGGAACAGGCTGACGGCTGTGTTAGGCAAGTGGCAGCAATTGCCTCGTAGTGGTCTTCTGATTCTAAGGTGCTATTTTAGCCAGCTGTGAGGCATGACCAAGGAAGACCACCTGTCTATGGTTGTCTCTTCCCACTGCACGGTCTAGACTGACGCTGACGAATGTGCAGCATGAAGGCCTGGCCCCCAAATGGCTCCTGGGGGAGTGAAAGGAGATGGAGGGAGAGTGTGGGGGGAAGGCCCTGACTCCCTACAGAATTCCTGTGTGACTTCCACAGACTTCCACGTGCTCCAAAAGCCCAAATAAAAATAAAAGAGCCAGACAAACAACAGAAGACATGCCTCAATGCCCCTGGACTTCAACACTGATAATGTAGAGATTCTTAGAAAAAGAAAAAAACCAAGGAAAGAGACATTCTTACTCTCTAGCAGTTGCTGGAGATGGAGGACCAGGAACCACTTGGCCTCTGGGAGAGTCAAAGCTGAGCCTAGGGACACACACACACACACACACACACACACACACACACACACACACAGATTTGAACTGGGCATGACCTCGACAGACTGATTATTTTTATCTTAGTGAACAGATCTGATATGGAAAAGATGGATTATATGTTGAGGAAAATTTAATACATACATACACACACACATATATATACATGTGTATATGTATATATATATGTATGTGTATATAAGTTGTTATCATGAAGTTGAACTATTTGGGGAGGTTGAACCCCCAGAAGGGTACCTGAAGTCAGGTTGGACAACAGGTGAAAATGTCCAATCACATCACAGGACCTGCCATTAGTATGGGGTGCAGTGACAAGGACAAAAGAAAACTCGAATCTTTTCCAAAGTCCCCTTTGGCCTCAGGGAGGTGAAGCCAAGAACAGCACCACCACCCCATGCATGGTTGTGTGGGGCTGTGCCCACATGGGTAACTGACCCCTTGAGAGAAAATATAGATTGACGCTTAGACACTGGGGCTGGGCCCACAATGCAAAGTCAGTGGGTATGGCTGGTTCACTGCTGGTCACACCAGCCTCCATCCCATGCACTCTGGCCCCTGCACCCCAAATTCCTATTCCATAGTACTGCATTGTCTCCCAGGCACAGGCCTGCCTTCATCTCCTCAAATCAGGTCCCTGAAACAGTTCACACAGAACACAGGTTCAGTGGCCTGTCAGCACTCCATGGGGCATCTGCCAATGCGAGTCTCACCCCTGACCACACACGCACACACACACACATGCACACACACATGCTTCAGAATTATCTTGGGAACAATTGGGAGGTTCTTCCTTGGGCTGAGTCAAACAAGCCTTCTTGAAGGTCCACCCTTGGCCACACCCTCACCCTATCCTTCAGGAGGTCTTTCCCTGTTCCTCATAGCCCTCCGCCTCAGACCTCTGTTTGGTACAACGGTAGCCTCGGGTCTTGGCTGGCAGGTAAAGGGCCAGGGCCTGAGGGAGGTCAGTCACTGCCACGCCGTACAGTGTGCACACTGACAGCAGACAGTGTGGTATCCGCGTGCCTCAGCTATGACCTCTTTGTTAGCCCCCGACCTCAATGTGGAGGCCTGACTCATCACGAATGACCCTCCCACACCCAGGCCTGCCTAGCGTGGGGTCCCTGGTCCTGCTTGTTAACCAACCACCCCAGCTGATCACTCCTGCTTCTGACCTGAACCCATTTCTGGCCTACAAACCCATGAAGACAAATGCAAAGGCCAAGACACCATCTGAATAAATGTCACATTTTTCCATCATCCATTGCTATGAACCTGGAGCTGTCAATGGCTCCAACTTTCAAAGCACACTACAACTGGGGAAGCAGGATGTCTGTGTCCAGGGACAGATCCAGGCCATCCCGCTTGGAGCCAGCTCCTGCAGCCCGGTCACAGCTCACCCTTTATTTCACCACACCAAATACCTTGAAATCAATTGCCTCTAAGGAGGCTGCTTTTATAATGTATGCCACCCCAAAACAACAGGCAAGTCAGTGTCTGGGTGTGCTATAGATACAGCCAGTCGGTCTGGACATTTCAGAATCACAAGTTTTAACAGCAGTTCTGTGACCTTCCCTGGTCAGTGTTATTCTCCCACGCCCACACAGCAGGCTCACGGTCAGGGAGCATTCACTTCACGAGCCTAGATGTCATCCGTATTGTGGGCAGGATCTGCCACGTGGGTAGGGACCGGCAAGAACCTATGACCCGGAGTCACTGGGATATGCAGTGCAGAAGAGTGAGGTGCCCTGGAACAGAGACGGGTCGAGAGAAAACCTAAATGGGTCGATAGGCCAATCCCAACCCTTCTTGAGTAGTGGCTTAAAGCAAGGATGAACTGCTACCGCACTGTTCATGGGACTATGGCACAGAGTTCCTATCAGATGGAAAAAAAACCTGGTATCTCTGAAAGTTGAAGGTGGGTGGCTGAACCCTGTCCAAACTGAGCCCCCCACACCACCACCACCCCCCACCCCCACACTCAGAACCCATTTACCCACAGGTGTCAGGGGACCTATCAAGAGACAGGTGTCAGGTGACCTATCCAGAGGATTGTCCCTACAGGACAGACCCTACACTCACCACACCCTATGGACAGCAGAGATTCGGTCACAAGAGTGCTGGATCTGCACAGATGTTAGGGTGGCCTTGTCCCCCTTCTCCTCCTCCAGGGATGACTTGGGCCAGGGGCTGAGACAGGCTCTCTGCTCCCAGTGGCCGGTGCTGACAGCAAACCTCACCGAGTGAGGCACCCTGAGCCGGGCCTGTGGGAAGGGCTGAGGGGCCCCCACAGTATCATTCAATTGAGCAGAACTGACTCGTGATTTGTCTGAGTTGCCAGTCTGCTTTGGACTAGTCTCACCTCTAGAGTTTGAAGCTACAGTTATTGCTTCTAGTTACAGAAGATACTTGGAAGCCCTGGTAGCTTTAGCGTCTGAGAAACACAGGCAGGCTCCAGGTCGCTGAGTCCATGAGGGACGGCTCTGGGACACAGACACCGGGACCAGCCCAGGATCAGGGTTTGTGGAGGCATTTGAAGTTCAGGCTGTGCTCTACTCTACTGAAGTGGGGCCTAAGAAGCATGCGAAGGTCCCAAAGGGGCACATGGGGTCATTCCAAAGGGTCAAAGCTTACTCAAGCAGGGAGGTGAGGCCTAGAAACATCAGGCATGTGGCTAAAGTGCACCATTCACACAGGGGAGGGGGTCTTCATTTTTGGCAGGAGTAGACAGGGGCACCTATAACCAGTGCACTATTTACAGAGCATCTTAAATAGAGAGAATCCTACTCAAAAGGCTCTAACATTTGTACATGAATATTGTACAACATTAAAAATAAATAAGGCAATATAATACAGTCTCATCACAAATAAAGAGGAAGTTGTTCACCAAACCCCAAGGAGCGGAATTATGGCTAAACACGACTCCTGTGCCCACAGGAAGCAAGTAGGGTTTGGAACTGCTGATGATGAAGAAGATGTTGCTCATTGAAGTAGAAACCTCGCTGTTTCAGAACAGTCGAGCGCCTGGATGGCTTTCCCCTGCTGCTGCACAGGGAGCCACGCACTTGGTGGCTTTGCATAGCATGTGCAGGGTCTCAAGGCCCGAGGACCCGAGGTACTATTCAGCCTGGCTTTCACCCGGAGGCTCATGGGTGATCTACCACCGGCCCCCTCGGAATGACGCCAAATTCAACGTCTGTGGTTGTGGGAGAGCTGTTCATCCTTAAAGCAGCGAACTTATGCTTGGAATCATCCAGACTGCCTGGCCATAATTCTAAGGTGCCCATGGCCACACTGAGCCCACCGGGACTTCTCCCCGACCCCACCCCAGCTACGGCCCACGTCCTTCATCCCCACTGCAAAGTCCCCTCTGCCATGTAGCTAAGTATATTCACAGGGTTGGGATCACTGTCCTGTCCACACACACCCCACACACCCCACCCCTGGTGGAAGCCTGGCTCAGAGGCCCAGCGCTGCAAGACAAGTTGACAGACCAGGCCAAGGCCAGGCTTCCAGCCCCTCAGCCAGCACAGCGCACAGCACACAGCCCGGGGGCCCTGACTCAGTTTTCCCTGAAGGAATGATGCCTGTTGCTAAGGGCTGTGGGGACATTCACCTTCGCGTCCTTCTCCACCAAGTGCTGGCCCACACAGCAGATGTGCAATGGTGCTTCATGGGGCATTGAAGAAGCACCGTCCACCCTCCCTGTCTCTGCCCACTTCTTACATCTCTGACCCCTCCACACCCAGCCTGGAGACTGACACTGGGGCTGCCCCAACGAGTCCTGAGTTGGGTGACCCATGACAGCAGAGGCCCTACTGCCCCCAGGTGACAGAGCTCACCTACCCAAGAGGGCGCAACTTGCAGGACACCCCACAGGGTAGTCCAGAGTGAGTCCCTGTGCTGATCCTGAGCAACTGGGACCCCCAGGGAAGGATGGGGTGAGAAGTGGCCTTCTCAGGCCTGCGGGTACAGGGGACCTGCAGGCCTGAAGTCCCACCTGTCTAAGCTGTGTTCTCCAGACGCCCCTCCTGATGGGCCTGCCCAGACCGCCCCTCCTTTCAAGCTGCCTTCCTCCCTGCAGCGGAGAGCATCTGAGTCTCCAGAGGTTTCAACCTGGTATTTATGGCCAGTCACTTCTTGTGGACCTCCCGGGGGTCTCACCCCCAACCCCCACAGTGCATCTGGCAAGTCCTCGCCCTGCAGCTCCAGGGCTGCCACAGAGATGTATGAGGGCAACTCCAAGTCTCACACCTGCAGTCTCTCTCTGCAAAGTGGAGCTGGGCCACAGGGGCCTATGGCCATACACTGCAAACCACATCCGGGGGCTGGTTGCCAAAGAAAATCTTCCATCAAGGAAACTTTCTCATGGATGTGAGGGTCACCTGTTCTCAGGATCAGCAAAGCCTCACACCACGATTAGATGCACAGACACAGAGGTGCACGGCCCACAGGGGATAAACACCCTACCACCTTCCTTCTGTGGCCAGTACAGCCACACAGGCGGAAAAGGGGGTGCCCAGGCTTTATGGGGACTGGTGCGCTCAGGTAGGACAGGTGAATGCACAGGCTGAATGCGATGATGCTGGTCACAATACATTGTGGCTGCCAAGTTCCCCCACCCTCTCTGAGAGCTCCAGAAGACCAGCCTCTGGCTCTCAGTTAAAATCACTTTTGATGAAAACCAGCAGCCACTACCATCCACACCGTGGGCCAGGGTATCTTAATCCTGCTAACCGTTACCTCAGGGCCGGCCAGCTCTGAGTCTGGTTCTGCAGAGCAAGACCTGACTCCCACTCTGGGTCCTGCAGGCCATTGCCCAGGGTGGGAACCGCCCTCCAGGTTAAACAGATTCCTCTCAGGGCACCTGGTCACTCTGCCAGCCAGACCTCCGTGGCATACCTGTAAAACTGCAGTCTTGGTGGATGCACTGAATTTTTAACACCCTATGCTGACCTGGCCCACCCTCTACCACTGAAAGATAATGGAGCAAGCAGAACTCCTATGAAAGGCCCAGCATCCATGCAGATGGGTTTCTCCCTTCATCTGAGTTACTGTCAAGCTGCTCCAAGTTATGCCCGTCCCCAGCCCAGTTGCTGGCCACCTGCTCGGTTGGCTAGATTGGTCTCTGCTGGAGCTCCTGCCCCCAGAGGCCAGCGTGGAATCCACTAAGCCTCCTTCCCAGCTGCTCCAGGGGGCAGGTGCTGGCTGGGGGGCCCAGAGGTGAGCCTCGAGCCTTGCAAAGTCCCCAGATTGGCTCTGACAGGGAGGCTGGCCACAGGGGACACTGGAGGGCGGCCGGTGGCCAGTCTGCTCTGAAGGCCGGCTCTCCCGTAATGACACATTTTCCGCTCTGAGTTCAGGGACCTGGTTTGGGAGCCATTTCCATTGGTTCTGCCTTCCAGGAAGTACGTCAGCATCTCCCCCTTGCCCTTGACGCTGACCTTGCCTCGGCACACGAAGTGGTACGCGCCCTGGCACAGCAGCCGGTGAACTTCCTCAGTCACCTGCAACAGAAGAAAGCAGGGGTTACTCTTGGTCCACAGTGGGTGGCCCTGGGGTGAGCCCATGGAAGTGTTCTACTCCATCTGCCACTGCCTACCTCCCACAACCCAGTCTCTCCAGCTTGGCCTGGAGGCCAGGGCCTCTGTTGTTCCATGGTCACTGGTCACCAAGAAGGGTATGAAACTGCAAAAAGAACCCATGGGACCTGGGGGCCCTAACAAGAACAATGTGGGGGAATCCTGCCTCCTGTTACCCCTGGAAAGCTGGAAAAGACAGTGTCTACCATCGAGGTGCCCAGAGGGCGTAACTGCAGGCTGGGCAGGGCCAGTATGGACTGGCACCAGCAATGTGAGCTCCGTAGTCATCCCACACTCTGGCCAGATGCCTGCACAGGATCCAACTCTGGCTGTGGAGAGACAGGAGCAAGGCTGGCCTCTGGACCCGCACTCTCAGCACCTGAGTAGTCCTAGATGTTTTAGGGCCCAGGTGTTTGACCACCTCGTGGAAGGGGAGACGGCAGGAAGGACAGCTGGGACAGAAGTTTCACCCCACTGCTGGCACAGAGCCCTCAGGGACCCAGGTGGGGGTGCAAACTGGCTCACCCAGGAGCCCTTTGTGCCTCATGGGCAGGACACAGAAGCCACTAGTACAGAGTGCTGGGCAAGTCCCAAGAGAACACAGGGTCCTGGCCTGACTCCCCTGATTCTCAGATTCCTAACCATTTTAGCTGGAAGGCCTGCCAAACACAGCCAGAGACAAGATAAGGGTTGCGAAAGCACTTTCTAATAAAGTCCAATTAATGGAAGAGAACAGGATGTTTGGTTTCTCTTTGTTTTACTATGCAGGTGACCCCTCCCCTCCCTGGCTGCTCTGAAAATATCCCAAGCCACCCCACACCCCACACACAGACACACGTAGGTGGCTGGCCAAACTCTGGTGATTTTCGCTAACTCAGTCCACTCTGAACCACGCCCTCACAGGGTCCAAGGCACGTGGGGCCTGCAGAGTGGAGGCAGCAGTACCCTGGGCCCTGCCTGCAACTTGCACATTGTGTGGGGAATGTGGCGCTCTGCCTTGCTAACTGTTGGGAGTGACCAAAGATTTACTGACAAGGACTGAATTAGGGCAGGTAAAGAATTGAGTCTTGCATCCAAGCTTGATAAAGTGGTAATAAAGTGACCTTGCATCCGGGATGGGACTAGAAGAAGGTGATAACGAACTGGGCCTCACATCAAAGGACACAGTCACCCCTTGAGTTTAGAATCTATATAAGAGACCCTTCCCCCTTATTGGGTTGGCAGTAGCTGCGGACCCCACTCTAGGGGCTCTGTCTCAGCTGCTGCCCGAGAGCAATAAACTCTGCTTGCTCAGCCTTTCTGCCTCCTGCCTTACTTTCTTGTGGCCAGTCACAGAAGTTGGGGCAAAACACTAACATCAGCTGCTTCCTTGGGCATAACTTGGATCCCCTCAGGGGCAGTCAGGACCCCACACCAAGGCCCAACTTATCACAGCACTCAGACCGAATTTAACCAGCACCAGCTGAGTAAAGGAAGGAGCAACGAAGGGGGAAAGGAAGATGAGATAGGACAAAGCAGACCTGCTGGAAACCTGTCAGCGGCAGCAAGGAAAACAAAACCACCACCAAATACCAGAACCTGTACAGCTCCTGGGCCAGAAAAACCTGCCTGTGGCTCTAGAAGAACAAGCT